AACCTAAGACAGCATTCTCACCTTACCTTCTACAGAAAACACCCTGTAGTTGCCCTTGTAGATAATGGGAAGTTGGTTTGGTAGTCGATATCAAATCTTATTCCCCCAGTGTCCATAGGAGATGAAGGTTAGGTGAGGCCTTATCTCATGGTGCCTCCTAGAGGATACAACCTAAGAACCTAAGACAGCATTCTCACCTTACCTTCTACAGAAAACACCCTGTAGTTGCCCTTGTAGATATTGGGCAGTTGGTTTGGTAGTCATATCAAGTCTTATTTCCCCAGTGTCCATAGGAGATGAAGGTTAGGTGAGGCCTTGTCTCATGGTGCCTCCTAGAGGATACGACCTAAGAACCTAAGACAGTATTCTCACCTTACCTTCTACAGAAAACACCCTGTAGTTGCCCTTGTAGATATTGGGCAGTTGGTGTGGTAGTCATATCAAGTCTTATTTCTCCAGTGTCCATAGGAGATGAAGGTTAGGTGAGGCCTTGTCTCATGGTGCCTCCTAGAGGATACAACCTAAGAACCTAAGACAGCATTCTCACCTTACGTTCTACAGAAAACACCCTGTATAAACCCGACTCTCTCTTATTTCAGAGACCCGCTCAGGGTACGGTGCCTTATCTGGGAACATTTTTTTGACGGACCTTGTAATGCTGGACACTGCACTTGCTGACTACATAGAGGTAAGACTGCTTTGTCCTCTTTGTCTTTATTCATATCAGAGCCATTTAATAAACTCAGTAGCCACCTAGCTAGTACTCATAAAGGCATTCACATGGTTAGCAACATTTGCTCACAGGGATCACCGTACTTCCACAACAAGGCATCATCCAGGGTCACCAACTATTTCCAGGACTGAGACACTGGCTCAGAGATGACACAATCATGAAAATCCTTGTGCCAGTGCAGGAAGTGTGTTAAGCTGGCCATACAGTAGTAGATTTTTAAACTCTCAGAACATTTGCATGAAAATTCTGATCAGTACATTTGATGACTTGATGGATGTTGTTCTAAAGTACTTAAACATTTTGTTTGCTTTTAACATTTGATTTTGTGATTACCTGAATGAAAGACCACATCCACTGTAAGAAATTTGTTCGAGAAAATATTACCATCCTGCTCCTTTGAATTTCCTTGTCCCTATGGTCCAAAAACAAACAGCTTGACCCCATTACCGATTAGAAAGTCAGAGGAATGTTCCCAAAACAAATGTTTTCAAACAAAATTCTTCTAAAGTATGGCCAGCTTTGCTGGCAGGATCACCAAATAAAAAAAAAAAAATAGAAAAACACTCACAAAAGAAAACTATTGCAGCCACCACATCTATGGATTGGTAAGCTGCAATATATTACGGTTTTCGGTCCTGGGTTTAGATACACTTTAATAAAATGTCTACTTTATAAATAAGTACCTCTGCTATTTATCCTTCTATCATTTCACAGGGTGGACTTATAAACTTTGAGAAGAGGAGAAAGGTGAGTGTTCAGAAATAAGATATGCTTACACTAAGAAGGCTGCCTACAGCAACCTCGGTCCAAGAGCTGACACTCTTGCCTTACTAGGAATATGAAGTCCTGGCCAAGATTCAGAAACTCCAGCTTACCTGTCGCCACTATGTCCTGACGCCAAAGCCTGAAATCTTACAAGCTTTTTACACGCATCGTCAGCTGACCGAGGACCAAAGGTGAGGAGACTTAAAAAAAAAAAACTCTCTTTATAAATGTTATAACTTGCAGTCTTATATATTTTTTTGTATATTTGAATATGAGTAGATAAAAAAAGAAAAATCACATGCTTATGTATCCTTTAATCAATTTACCTAGTACTTTTATCAGGGGCGTTCCTAGGGTTGGTGTCACCTGATGCCGGAACACTTGGTGACACCCCCTGTGACGATCCCCCCAGGATGGATCGGATCTGCAGAATGAGCACAATGGATCAGGGTCCGATCCATTATCCTCCCCAATCCACAGATCTGATCCATCCTGCGGGGATTGTCGGCTTGCAACCTATACGGGGTTAACTGATCGCTCCACGAAAAGGTAAGTTTTAAAGCAAGCCGACAATCCCCGCAGGATGGATTAGATCTGCAGATTGAGCATAATGGATCGAGTCCGATCCATTATGCTCCCCAATCCGCAGATCCGATCCATCTTGCGGGGATCGTCGGCTTGGAACCTATACGGGGTTAACTGATCGCTCCACGAAAAGGTAAGTTTTAAAGCAAGCCGACGATCCCCGCAAGATGGATCGGATCTGCGAATTGGGGAGCATAATGGATCGGACTCGATCCATTATGCTCAATCTGCAGATCCAATCCATCCTGCGGGGATAGTTGGCTAGCTTTAAAACTTACCTTTTCGTGGAGCGGGTCAGGTGTCACCGGGAGTGGCGCGCACCCCCCGCACCTACCCAGGGATGCCCCTGACTAGTATAAGTAATTAGATGCTGAGGCCTGAGCAGTGTTATGAATGAAAAGGTCATGTTCCCCCATACCTGGAAGCCCCCACACTATTAATAGGGGTTCCAGCAGTGGTCAGGTGGCATAATGTAAGATCGTATTTTCACATCATTTTATTCCCTGTCCTTACAGTTACAGAATTTCTCGCACAATTGAGCCGCCGGCAGATTCCTGTCCAAACTCCCCTCGTATCCGCAGGAAACTGACCAAGGGTTCAGCTCGTAAGTTCTCCATGCATGCATTAATTTAACTGTGCATGTGTGTACGTGTGTACATGTGTATGTGTGAGTCTTTGACCATAGCATTACACAAAAAAAATAAAAATGTCAGTTTCTGACTAACTGGGTGTCCCCTAGTGGGTTCCTCCAAAACAAACAGAGTGCACTTGGACCTTTTTAGTGCTTGGTCCGCATTCAGCCTTTTCACTAAGCAGAAGGCTCCCCCAGCAGAGAGCGAGGGAGAAATCCCTAAGCATCAGTCTGCTCATATGTATAAAGGCCTGTGGACATCTAAGACTAAAAATGAGGTCTTGGACTTTGGAAAAGGCTTTATACACCCCAAAGCTCTACAAAGCCTCCAGTCTCCAGGACCTAGTGAGACTTTATTTGGATTTGAAGAAACAAAAAGTTTGTTATCTCTATATCAGACACAAACCCTAATTGCATGGAGTTAGGATGTGCCCTTTGTGCTGATGCCTCTTCTTTTAGTTGAAATCTTCCTTGGCCCATGCCCCCCCCCCCCCTCCAATAATCCTCTGGTGTGGTGGGGGCTCATCAAGAGTGCTAGACTGTGCCCACCCTTTCTGCTCACCTTCAACAGTCATAGAAGGTGTATTACAGCTTCCATAAATGAATGTGATCTATAAATAAAGGACTGGCAGATGATTGATGGATCAGAAACAAACCCCAAAAAAACACAGAAAAAACAAAAAAAGGGGGGCAGACTTGATGGACCACTCTGTATTTTTCTGCCGCCAATTTTCTGTGTTTCTAGATCCACCCCCTGCATTCACAGATCACGTTTCATACTGGCTGCTGGTGCCCAAGGGCTGCATGATAAGTACCAAATGGACGCATGTTGGGCAACAGAGTTTTTAAACCTTTTAGTATTTGTCCAGTCATGTAACCCCTATGGCCCCCTTACCCTGATTTCCTGCTCTCTCCCCCAATCATGCTCCCATATAATTTGCACAATATCAGGGCCTATTCACTGCCTTTTCTCCTTTCCTCCCACTGGGCCCACTCACCCCTTTTTCTCCTGTCCTCCCTTTAGGCCCACTCACCCCCTTATCTCCTGTCCTTCTACTGGGCCCAGTCACCCCCTTATCTCCTGTTCTCCCACTGACCCCATTCACCAGCTTATTTCCTGTCCTCCCCCTGGGCCCATTCACCCTCGTATATCCTGTCCTCCCACTCGAACTTCTCACCCCCTTATCTCCGGTCATCCCACTGGGTCCACTCACCCCCATATCTCCTGTCATCCCACTGGGCCCACTCACCCCCTTATCTTCTGTCCTTCTACTGGGCCCATTCACCCCCTTATATCCTGTCCTTCCACTGGAACTACTCACCCCCATATCTCCTGTCCTCCCACTGGGTCCACTCATCCCCAAATCTCCTGTCATCCCACTGGGCCCACTCACCCCCTTATCTGCTTTCATCCCATTGGGTCCACTCACCCCCTTATCTCCTGTCCTTCCACTAGGCCCACTCACAACCTTATCTCCTGTCCTCCCACTGGGCCCACTCACAAACTTATCTCCTGTCCTCCCACTGGGCCCACTCACAACCTTATCTTCTGTCCTCCCACTGGGCCTATTCACAACCTTATCTTCTGTCCTCCCACTGGGCCCACTCACCCCCTTATCTCCTGTCCTCCCACTGGGCCCACTCACAACCTTATCTTCTGTCCTCCCACTGGGCCTATTCACAACCTTATCTTCTGTCCTCCCACTGGGCCCACTCACCCCCTTATCTCCTGTCCTCCCACTGGGCCCACTCACAACCTTATCTTCTGTCCTCCCACTGGGCCCCACTCACAACCTTATCTCCTGTCCTCCCACTGGGCCCACTCACAACCTTATCCCCTGTCCTCCCACTGGGCCCACTCACCCCCTTATCTTCTGTCCTCCCACTGGGCCCACTCACAACCTTATCCCCTGTCCTCCCACTGGGCCCACTCACCCCCTTATCTCCCGTCCTCCCACTGGGCCCACTCACAACCATCTCCCGTCTTCCCACTGGGCCACACTCACAACCTTATCTTCTGTCCTCCCACTGGGCCCACTCACAACCTTATCTTCTGTCCTCCCACTGGGCCCACTCACCCCCTTATATCCTGTCCTCTCACTGGGCCCACTCACCCCCTTACCTCCTGTTCTCCCACTGGGCCCACTCATTCCTGCCCTGAGGCTCATCATTACACAACTCGTTGTACTCTTGCCTGTATAGTGTGACTATTTTATTAATCTCTTGTTCTGTACATTCTTTTTTATCCACAGCTTGTTATTAGGTTCTGAAGTGTTTAGTCCCAAGATGAATGGCGATCGTGTGTCTCCATCGGGATCCTGCAGCAGCTGTGAGATTGATGAAGGACTTATAGCAGCTTTGTGTCCTGCAGAGATGGCCACCAATAAGGTAACTGCACGTGATACAGAACTCTGTGATGACATTTTGTATTTCATGTTCATTTTCTGTATGTTCATAACAGGACAGAGGAAGCACACAAGAAGCTCTGACTCCACCCAGCACTCCAGGACGAGAGGAAGCTCTCCGATCGGTCTCTTCACCCCGTTCTCCAGTCTCCCCATCACTCCCAGTGTACAACCAGCAAATTGCTGACCTGTGTATTATCCGGGTCAGCATGGAGAACACTCATGGGAATTTGTATAAGAGTATATTGGTAAGAACTCCAAGACAAGTTCTGGGGCAATCACTCTCATTTTCTAATACTGCATTTTCCTTAACCACTGTCCGTCCGGCCGCTGTATATAAACGGCCGGATGGTGGCAGTCCAGGGGCGGGTTGCCGTTCATAAACAGCACCTTCCATTTTGGACTGTGCGCACTCCCTGGGAGCGTGCAGCACTGCGATCCGGTGCCCACTATGTCCTCCGGACACAGTGGAACACCGTTCGTCGTACAGGACCTCTCTGCGAGGTCCCGATCATCTGATCACTGATTGGCCAATCAGTGATCACATGCAGAGTAGTAAGCAAGATGTCACTTCTTACATCATTGCTTACTACGTGTGAAATCTGTGAATGATCACAGAGGTCACATGGTACAGGGCTATTCACAACAGCCTTGTACCATGTGACAAGCTGTGACCAATCACAGCTCACACAGTATTTCTCAATGGCTGCAAGAATGCAGCCAGAGAGAAGGAGAAATGATTGCTTTTCAACCTTTATGGGTGTCAAAGCAATCCGTGTAAAAAAAAAAAAAAAAAAAAAATGACACTGTACTCATAGGATGACAGTATGTAGAAAAAAAACCCATAAATAATAATATAAAAAATAAAATTAAAATTTTTAAATTATAATTGTTGGTTATAAACTAATTTGGGTTATTTTTTTTTACTAAAAAGATAACGAAATACATTTTGGCCAAGATTTATGATGAAATATTATTTATTAGCAAAATTTTATAAGAAAAACGCTTTTCAAAATTTTTGAACATTTTCATTTATATAGCCCTACCTGTCCCGCCGATTACAGCCATGGATGTCAGTTGCCGGGTCACAGCCGATCGTTACCGGCTATGTCCCGGCGATAGCCTGTGTTGAGAATCAAGACCATACAAAGTTCACAGATTGACTATTTGATTTTCCAAAGTGGCACATTCTGAAACTGGCCATGCAATGTGGAAACTTTCAAGTAATGTGAACCACTTTTGACCGAACTGAAGTTGAAACTCCAAGCGTGGATTGACCATGATGGCTCTAATGTAAGGGCAAACTCTGATGGGGACCCTGATGTAAGTGGGATTATGATGTGAAAGGGAACCCTGATGTAAGGAGGGACTCTGATGAGGACAAAATTGTAAAGGGGGCACTTTTGTGGTGACCCTGATGAAAGGGGGACTCTGATGGGAAATGTGATGTAATGGGGTACACTGGTGTAAATCGGACTCTGATGTAAGAGCAGAATTTAAAGGGGACCCTGAGGGACTTTTTTGGGGTTTTTTGCTTTTTTTGTTTTTTTTAATGAAGTTCTTTATTACATTACATTACATTGAGTTTATATAGCGCCAAAGGGTTTGCTCAGCGCTGTACAATAGAGGGGGGGACAATACATGAAACATTACAGCAACTACAAACAGCACACGAGGGGTTATAGGGCCCTACTCTTTCGAGCTTACAATCTAGGAGGGAGGGGGTAGTGGTACAGGAGGAAGTGGCTGTGGGGGATGGAGTGGTAGGAGGAATGAAGGAGAGCAGCAGTTAGGTGAGGGTGGGGTAGGCTTCCCTGAAGAGGTGGGTTTTCAAGGAGCGCCTGAAGGTGAGGAGGGAAGGCAACAGTCTGATGGATTGGGGTAGTGAGTTTCAGAGGATGGGGGAGGACCTGGAGAAGTCTTGCAGACGTGCGTGCGAGGAGGAGACCAGGGAGCAAGATAGAAGGAGGTCCTGTGAAGAGCGAAGGGTACGGGTAGGGTGGTACTTGGGAATCAGGTTGGTGAGGTAGTTAGGGGCAGTGTTGTGAATGGCTTTGTAGGTCAGAGTGAGTAGTTTGAATTTGATGCGTTGGGCGATAGGAGCCAGTGGAGGGAGAGGCAGAGGGGGGTGGCACAGGTGGAGCGGGTGGTGAGGTGGATGAGTCTAGCCGCTGAGTTGAGGATGGTCTGAAGCGGGGAGAGCCTGCACTGGGGTAGGCCGGTGAGGAGGGAGTTGCAGTAGTCAAGGCGTGAGATAATCAGGGAGTGCACAAGTAGTTTAGTGGTGTCTGGGGTAAGGAAGGAGCGTATTTTGGCGATATTGCGGAGGTGGAGTCTGCATGTGTTTGTAAGTGATTTGACATGAGGTTGAAAGGAGAGGTTAGAGTCCAGAATGACTCCAAGGACTTTGGCTTGCGGGACGGGATTGATGGTGGTGATGTTAGTAGTGATGGATAGGATGGGGGGGGGGGGGGGGGGGGTGCGGGCAGGAGGGAAGACGAGAAGCTCGGTTTTGGAGAGGTTGAGTTTGAGGAAATGGAGCGACATCCAGTCAGAGATGTCGTTTAGGAGGTGAGTGATGCGGGCGGAGAAAGTGGAGGTGAGGTGAGGGGTGGAGAGGTAAATTTGAGTGTCATCAGCATAGAGATGGTAGTTGAAGCCGTGGGAGTGTATGAGTTTGCCAAGGGAGGAGGTGTAGATGGAGAAGAGAAGGGGTCCAAGGACAGAGCCCTGGGGGACCCAACAACAGAGGGGGGAGTGAGGGGGAGGTGGCACCATTGTAGGTGACACTGAAGGAGCGTCGGGATAGGTACGAGGAGAACCAGGAGAGAGCGGTGTCTCTGATGCCAAGGGAGAGTAGTTTATTAAGGAGGAGGGGGTGGTCAACTGTGTCGAAGGCCGCGGAGAGGTCCAGGAGGAGGAGGACAGAGTAGTCGCCTTTGGCTTTGGCGGTTAGTAGGTCGTTGGTGATTTTGAGGAGGGCGGTTTCGGTGGAGTGTAGGGGACGGAAGCCGGACTGTAGTGGATCAAGGAGGTTGTTGTCAGTTAGGTGGGTGCTTAGGCGGTTGTAGACTAAGCGCTCCAGGAGTTTGGAAGTGAGTGGCAGCAGGGAGATGGGTCTGAGGTTGTTTGGGTCAGAGGGGTCCAGGGAGGGCTTTTTGAGTATGGGGGTGATGTGCGCATGCTTTAGGGGGGAGGGGAATACGCCGGTAGAGAGGGAGAGATTGAAGATGTGGGTGAGGGAGCAGATGAGGGAAGAGGGGGGTGACTGGAGGAGTCGAGAGGGGATAGGGTCCAGGGGGCAGGTAGTGAGGCGGGCTTCTGAGAAGACCCTGGTGACTTCCTCAGTGGTAGTAGGGCTGAAGGAGTGCAGAGCTGGTGGGGTTACCTTTTTCTGTTATTCCATATAAAATCATGCGGATTCCAAAAATGCTGAAATAAAACGTATTCATTAAAATTTTATTCATTCATTTATAAAAACTGATTCTTATGACCTGTGAATATTTGTAAAATATACAACGTGGCCCTGGTATGGAAACGTTTGGTGCCTCCCGATATAATACATAAAACTTCAATGACATGTTTCTATTATTAATAATTCATGTCTATGTCTGCAGCTCACCAGTCAGGATAAGTCTCGGGTGGTCATACAGCGGGCGCTCCATAAACACAACATAGAATCCTTCGGCCCGGATGACTTCCAGTTGGTACAGTTACTATCAGAGGGTAAAGGTAAGGATGAATCTATATCTAATAAAGATGAATGCCAGGTCTGGATATTTTATACATATTTATATGGTCCAGCTTGGACCTATGTACCTATGTGTATACCATAATTGGCTGATCCCCCTGGAAATCACCAACGTATACACCACGTCTCCAGTAGCTTCCAGGTCTTGTGGTGAGCAATGGCCTGCTGCATCCTGAACATGGGAGGCCGGCCGTTCTGTGCCATTTAGGGAACACTTTGCATTTTCTCAATAAAGTGTTCTGTGATTGGACGAGGTGAGAAGGTGACATCACACTCTCACTCTCCGCTTTGTCCAATCACAGAATGCTATGCATTCATTAAGAAAATTATTATTAGGTACTTATATAGCGCCATCAATTTACACAGCGCTTTACATATATATTGTACATTCACATCAGTCCCTAACCCTCAAGGGGTGTACAATCTAAGGTCCCTAACTCACATTCATACATACACATACTAGGGCCAATTTACACAGGAGCCAAATTACCTACCAGCATGTCTTTGGAGTGTGGGAGGAAACCAGAGTACAGGCACAGGGAGAACATGCAAACTCCAGGCAGGTGGTGCCATGGTTGGGATTCGAACCAACGACCCGACGAGTACTGCCAGGGGGAAGTGCTAACCATTTAGCCACTGTGCTGCCCAAATGCAAAGCATTCTCTCAATGGCACCCATGGTGATAGGCCAACCTTCTGTGTTGAGAATGCAGCAGGGTACCTAAGCATGTGCAGCAGTGGTGGTGGCCAAAAGAGTACATTTGCACTGTATGAATGTAACCATTAGCACGAATGTAACATGCATACATAGCAGACAGGATTGTACACAGGGTCATGCTACTATCAAGATCCTATGGAAAAACATAGGCCCATGTGCATGAATTCACAAAGCGAACACACCAGAAATGGTGGCATTAACAGGATGAACACAAACTGCTTGCAGACCGCCGGCCCGCCATGTACTTTGGACAGGCGGCCCATACAAGCACTGCTATGTACATGTATGTTGCTGGCCTCCTCCAGGTACAGGGCGTGTACACGGCGCCTGCCGACTCCTGCTTTAACTGTACACACAGCGGGAGATAGTCAGCAGGTCCCAGCCAATGATTAATTCCCAGGACCTGCTGCTCAGCTGTGTCAACTCACAGCCCAGAGCCCTGTGTTGACAATCAACACAGGGCTCTGTAGAGAGGGAATGATCTCTGTTTCTGGGACACGTGACAGGTCCCAGAAAACTACGGGAACATTCACAAAGTGCAGTGGGCAACCGGCTGTGAAGCCGCAAGCTGTCACAGCCGGGTGCCCACAATGAAGATGCCGGCGCCAGAGAGAGAGGACGGCCGGGAGGAAGGGGGAGGACAACTTCTGCTTCCGATCGCCTAGGCCATGGGTGTCAAACTGGCGGCCCTCCAGCTGTTGCCAAACTACAAGTTCCATGAGGCATTGCAAGACTGACAGTTACAAGCATGACTTCCAAAGGCAGAGGCATGATGGGACTTGTAGTTTCGTAACAGCTGTAGTGCCAGACACCCCTGGCCTAGGCGATCGCAGCAGAAGTGGGAGCGGGTACCTGTCAAATTCGGGTGCCGATCCTTAATGGGGAGCATGGGACAAAGGCCTAAAGCGGAACTTCCCCTTTTGGGTGGAGCTCCGCTTTAACGATTAGGGAACCGCCTATTCCTGCCTTTACTTTCAGAGTCCACTTGTACAGTGGGGCAAAAAAGTATTTAGTCAGCCACCAATTGTGCAAGTTCTCCCACTTACAAAGATGAGAGAGGCCTGTAATTGGCATCATAGGTAGACCTCAACTATGAGAGACAAAATGAGGAAAAAAATCCAGACAATCACATTGGCTGATTTGGAAAGAATTTATTTGCAAATTATGGTGGAAAATAAGTATTTGGTCAATATGAAAAGTTCATCTCAATACTTTGTTATATATCCTTTGTTGGCAATGACAGAGGTCAGACGTTTCCTGTAAGTCTTCACAAGGTTGGCACACACTGTTGCTGGTATGTTGGCCCATCCTCCATGCAGGTCTCCTCTAGAGCAGTGATGTTTTGGGACTGTCGCTGGGCAACACGGACTTTCAACTCCCTCCAAAGGTTTTCTATGGGGTTGAGATCTGGAGACTGGCTAGGCCACTCCAGGACCTTGAAATGCTTCTTACGAAGCCACTCCTTCCTTGCCCGGGCGGTATGTTTGGGATCATTGTCATGTTGGAAGACCCAGCCACGTTTCATCTTCAATGCCTTTGCTGATGGAAGGAGGTTTGCACTCAAAATCTCACGATACATGGCCCCATTCATTCTGTCCTGTACATGGATCAGTCGTCCTGGTCCCTTTGCGGAGAAACAGCCAAAAAGCATGATGTTGCCACCCCCATGCTTCACAGTAGGTATGGTGTTCTTTGGATGCAACTCAGCATTCTCTCTCCTCCAAACACGACGAGTTGTGTTTCTACCAAACAGTTCTATTTTGGTTTCATCTGACCATATGACATTCTCCCAATCCTCTTCTGGATCATCCAAATGCTCTCTAGCAAACTTCAGACGGGCCCGGACATGTACTGGCTTAAGCAGGGGGACACGTCTGGCACTGCAGGATCTGAGTCCCTGGCGGCGTAGTGTGTTACTGATGGTAGCCTTTGTTACGTTGGTCCCAGCTCTCTGCAGCTCATTCACTAGATCCCCCGTGTGGTCCTGGGATTTTTGCTCACCGTTCTTGTGATCATTTTGACCCCACGGGGTGAGATCTTGCGTGGAGCCCCAGATCGAGGGAGATTATCAGTGGTCTTGTATGTCTTCCATTTTCTAATTATTGCTCCCACAGTTGATTTGCTCACACCAAGCTGTTTGCCTATTGCAGATTCAGTCTTCCCAGCCTGGTGCAGGTCTACAATTTTGTTTCTGGTGTCCTTCGACAGCTCTTTGGTCTTCACCATAGTGGAGTTTGGAGTGTGACTGTTTGAGGTTGTGGACAGGTGTCTTTGATACTGATAACAAGTTCAAACAGGTGCCATTGATACAGGTAATGAGTGCAGGACAGAGGAGCCTCTTAAAGAAGAAGGTACAGGTCTGTGAGAGCCAGAAATCTTGCTTGTTTGTAGGTGACCAAATACTTATTTTCCACCATAATTTGCAAATAAATTCTTTCCAAATCAGCCAATGTGATTGTCTGGATTTTTTTTCTCATTTTGTCTCTCATAGTTGAGGTCTACCTATGATGCCAATTACAGGCCTCTCTCATCCTTGTAAGTGGGAGAACTTGCACAATTGGTGGCTGACTAAATACTTTTTTGCCCCACTGTAATATAATAATTACAGTCCCATGCCTAAAATGAATATCCTTTATCTACATTTTAAAATATTGTGAATTGACACGTCTTGTAGTTTGTTGGCTTTTTTATGAACTGACACCCAGTCCTTGTACCTGCCTTCCAGAACTGACCATCCCGGACACGGCCAATGTGTACTACGCCATGAACACCTCCGCCAATTATGACTTTGTCCTGAGAAGAAGAGCGAGGGACAGCTGACCTTACACAGCACCATCCGGGGCGAAAGACTGGAGCGTGCCTCCCCCAGCCCAGCAGATATAGTATATACATGATTATTACATGTATCACCAGAGACTGGATCCTCCTCGTATTACACCTGTATTATAATATACAGGATTATTACACACTCCTTACCTAGCCTGCCACTCGAGATCGCGCGGCCCGGTCATACCACACCCCAGTTATCATAGAATACCATATATTTTTGTAATCACTAGTGTGCTTGTATCAGGATCTATACTGTATTGTGAGGCCCTGCAGTATGTGCACTGAACGTTACCAATCACTTCCACGCAGCTATGGGTATATGTGCAGTCGTGGTATTTGGGCGCATTACTACAACCTCCGAAGTACGGAGGGGAGACCATGAGCCCCCCCATTCTTCACCCCTTGAGCAAGCCGTAAGCTTTAATGTTTTAAACATAAATCACCAGCGCCAAAATTCGTACAAATTAATACTAAATATACAAATGAATGCTGCTGCTCATCAGTGCAAACCCACATCAGTGCAAACCCACATTAAAACAGCGCAAAAAGAAATTTAAATAAATAACACTGCAAAAATATATATATAAAAATATAAGTCCCACTCCAAATTGGTGAGAAAATTAATTATATAATAAAAATTAAAATAAAAAAAAATTATTATTAAAATATAAATATTCTTGAAAGTCCTCCCACCAAAAATAGTGCTCAAAAAATTATACCCCACTCACCAGATCTTGGTGAAAAAATTATTAGTTCCACTCCAAATTGGTGAAAAAATTAAAATCAAAAAAGATCAAAAAAATTATTATTAAAATATAAATATTCTTGAAAGTCCTTCCACCAAAAATAGTGCTCAAAAGATTATACCCCACTCACCAGATATTGGTGAAAAAATTATTAGTCCCACTTCAAATTGGTTAAAAAATTAATTATATAATAAAAATTAAAAAAAGATCAAAAAAATTATTATTAAAAAAAATATAAATATTCTTGAAAGTCCTGCTACCAAAAATGGTGCTCAAAAAATTATACCACACTCACCAGATATTGGTGAAAAAAAAAAAAAACACCTTTTAGGGCTTTTTTGGGATCCTGGAGGTTGGAGGCTGGCTATATTCTGGTTTGGAGTGGGAGAAATCCAGGATTATCTGGAGGCATTACTGACTGGGTCTAGGATCCCCAAAAAACCCTAAATGGCGTTTTTTTCACCAATATCTGGTGAGTGCCGTATAATTTTTTGAGCATTATTTTTGGTGGAAGCACAATTTATTTCTTTGGGAAGAGGACTTAAGAATATTTATAATATTTTAATAATAATTGTTTTGATCTTTTTTTATTTAAATTTTTATTATATAATTCATTTTTTCACCAATGTGGAGTGGGACTTATAATTTTATATATTTTTTTGCAGTGTTATTTATTAAAATTTCTTTTTGCGCTGTTTTAATGTTTTGTAAGCTTTAATTTACACAGCCATGTGCCAACTCTTGTTAGGCTGATAAAAAAAACCAGGAGAATCCACAAATTCATTTAAATTAACTTCAGCGCTCACTTTTTTTTTTCTTTGGTGCCATAAACTAGACCTAGCTATTGCCTAGGTTGCCTCTATCCTAAGCCACTAGTCGTGCAAGTGAATCCAGCTTTGGGGTCACACTGTATTGTGAGCAATGGCTAGTTTGCTCCCAGACTTGGATTTTTAGTTATTTGCCTCCCTACATCTCTCATACCACCTATGAATACAGAAATCCCAAAAAAGGGAGCTCAGTTGGCCTATACAAGAGGAGACTGGCATCCCTAATGCAGGGGCGGAATGACAACTCATGGGGCCCCTGGGCAATAGGGGATCATGTGGCCCCTCTCACTGACACCAATGATGGGGCACTATCCCTTTCACTGATACCAATGATGGGGCATTATTCCTTCCACTGACACCAATGATGGGGCACTATTCCTTCCACTGACACCAATGATGGGGCACTATTCCTTCCACTGACACCAATGATGGGGCACTATTCCTTCCACTGACACCAATGATGGGGCTCCATTCCTTCCACTGACACCAATGATGGGGCACTATCCCTCCCACTGATACCAATGATGGGGCACTATCCCTCCCACTGACACCAATGATGGGGCACTATCCCTCCCACTGACACCAATGATGGGGCACTATCCCTCCCACTGACACCAATGATGGAGTATTGTTTACTCCCACTGACACCAATGATGGGGCACCATTCCTCTCACTGACACCAATGATGGAGTATTGTTTACTCCCACTAACACCAATGATGGGGTACTATTCCTCCCACTGACACCAATGATGGAGTATTGTTTACTCCCACTAACACCAATGATGGGGCACTATCCCTCCCACTGACACCAATGATGGGGCACTGTTTACTTCCACTGACACCAATGATAGGGCACTAATCCTCCCACTGACACCAATGATGAGTCACTGTTTACTCCCACTGGCATCAATGATTGGGGTACTATTCCTCTCATTTATACCAATGATGAGGCACTATTCCTCTCACTGATACCAATGATGGAGCATTGTTTACTACCAATGATGGGGCACTAGTCAACCCACTGACACCAATGATGGGGCACTATCCCTCCCACTGACACCAATGATGGGCACTGTGTACCCCCAACAACATCAATGATGGGGCACTGTGTACTTCCACTGACACCAATGGTGGGGCACTATACAACCCACTGACACCAATGATGGGGCACTATCCCACCCACTGACACCAATGATGGTACACGATTCCTCTGACTGACGCCAATGATGGGCACGGTTTACTCCCACTGACACCAATGATTGGGGTACTATTCCTCTCATTTACACCAATGATGGGGCACTATTCCTCCCACTGATACTAATGATGGAGTATTGTTTACCACCAATAATGGGGCACTAGTCAACCCACTGATACTAATGATGGGCACTATCCCTCCCATTGACACCAATGATGGGGCACGGTTTACTCCCACTGGCACCAATGATTAGGGCACTATTCCTCACACTGACACCAATGATGGGGTACTATTCCTCACACTGACACCAATGATGGGGTACTATTCCTCACACTGACACCAATGATGGGGCACTATTCCTCCCACTGACACCAACAATGGGGTACTAGTCCTCACACTGACACCACTGATGGGGTACTATTCCTCCCACTGACACCAACAATGGGGTACTAGTCCTCACACTGACACCACTGATGGGGTACTATTCCTCCCACTGACACCAACGATGGGGCACTATTCCCCCACTGACACCAATGATTGGGGTACTATTCCTCCCACTGACACCAACGATGGGGTACTATTCCTCACACTGACACCAATGATGGGGAATTGTTTACTCCCACTGATGCCAGGGCATTTTCTAACCCCACAGGCCACAGTACCCCCCCCCCTCCCCCAATACCTGAAGGATAGTTAACTAGTCCTTTGTTTAGAAAGTTCGGAGACCCCTGATTTAGAGCAACCCATTTTATTGTGTGAATGGGGGGGGAAAAATGAAATGCCCAAATATTCGATGCGGTCTAAGATCTTGTCAGGGAAATCATCGTTCCGAACTCTGGCACATCTGGTGAATGGCTGAACTTGGCCTTTCATCTGAGCTACTTGTGTCACCCACGTAACTGTTCCATATATTGCTATGGACAATCCACTGAGAACACGACTCTTCAGAACTCAATGTCCGTCCTGTACCACCATTCCCATTGGTGAGGGGAGACCACAAGCACCAGTGAAGAGTAGTAAGGCATCGCTCTCTCCCCGCCACTAGGAGTTCGGTACGATTGTGCTGGATGTTGGACCGGCCAGATCAGGAGCCTCTTGTTACTGTTGGAAATACCTGGGCTCTAGCAACCCAACAACACCTGCTATTGCTGTAATACAATTGAGAAAATCGATTGATTGCTATGACGAATATAGACACGATCAGTCCCAATAGGTCAGTACAAAGAGGAATAAGGATTCTGCAAAGTGCAGTGATCCATAATAACAAATCATGTGTTAAACCAGACTTATGCAGGACATATATGGGTCGAAATCCGAACAATTTTTCATCCAAAAATCGAAAACATTGTTCGCTCGGTAATCCGATGGTGCCATCAATGATTTCAAAAATCGGCCAACCAAGTCATAAAGTTCCCCCCATATAACAGGCGAAACTTCTGTTCCTTCCAGGTCACGGCTCATGCGCATATTCTTTTCGGAAAAACAATCGTAGGATTTGACCATCATTGAGTCAAAAATCCGTCGTTTTTCACGAATTTTCCAACGTGCCCGATCACCTAAAAGGGGAGGAACCACAAAAATCGGCCGATGCCATTGACCCCGCGAACAGAGCGACACATGGCCGATTATTCTTAGGTCTGATTTTCAGACAAAAAATTGTTTGAATTTGAACCCATGTATGGCCGGCCTTACTTTCAAATGATCAGCTGAACCTATGTTAGCAGTCTTGGTGAAATATATAGAGTAAATAGAAGGGCTCAGATACGTACCTTTAGGGTCCTTTCACACAGTCGTTCTGTTTTTTTTTCCTTCAGTTATGCTTTTTCAAAGAAAAAATGGATGCGTTTACATCAGTTTTTTCATCTGTTTTTCATCCGTTTACATTAGTTGACATCCGTTTTTCATCTGTTTACATTAGTTTACATCCGTTTACGTCCGTTTTTTTCATCTGTTTACATCAGTTTTTTTCATCTGTTTTTCATCCGTTTTTCATCTGTTTGCATCCATCATTCGTCCTTTCTGGGGTTTTTTGCAGAAGAAAAATAGGCCTCTTTCACACGGGAGTTCCGTATGTCCGTTTTTTATCTGTCCGTTTACGGATGAAAAACAGACACCCATGTATTTCTATGGACTTGCGGATGTAAACAGATGAACATCTTTTTACATCCGTTAATGTCCGCATTGGTTTTTTTTGAACGGAAGAAAACCCTATT